AAGGTCACTGCGAGTTCTCTGGGTCGTGCGATGTCCACACTTGTGGTCCAGGAGCATCACCTCTGGCTGTGTCCGGTCAACATGAGGGACGCCGACAAGTTCGGTTCCTCAAGGTCCCGGTGTCCCAGACTGGCCTCTTCGGCGACGCAGTTGAGAACATGGCCCAGCAGTTCTCGGCTGCACAGGAGCAGACTGAGGCGATTCGACACGTCCTGCCCCAGCGGGCAGCTGCTGCCTCCACCCAGCCGCACCGCCCCAGCCTGCTCGTCGCCGAGGGAGGCCCCCTGCATCCTCCCATGCTCCCGCGCCCCATTCGCAGCAGCCTCGAGCAAGCGGCGCCGTGAAGCTGGGCGTAGGCAGATCGCCCCGCCCGTCCAGGCCCCCGTCAAACTTGGCGGTGAGCGGAAGAGCACGAGGCCCTGGGACTGGCGACCCAGAGAGAGAGGGAACTGATCTTTGGGGGATGGTGAATGCACCTCTCCCTGCCCCGGAGGAGGGTCAGGTGGAGAATCTGCTTTACAAAAATCTCGACAAGAGTGCAGTTTTCTCTATCTCTGGGTCCCAAGAGGGCATGGAGAGTCGCGGACGGACTAACACCGGACCACACTCATCCTCCTCTCTCACCAGCAGGCAGCAGCGGGCGGTTCGAGAGCGTCATCAAAGGCCCTACTCACGCACCCTCTGCCAAACCGTGGAACCAGGTAAGTGTTGCACCGCACACTCAGACCCCTCTTCGGTCTGCCCACGGACCGGGTCCCTGCGTTTCACCTCACTGCCCCACCGCGGGTATGTCGGTGGTCCTGCTGGTCCAGCTTGTACGGTGTCTGGGTGCCTGGCTACCCAAACCGTCTCGCTTGCTCCTGCGGACCATCAGACTCGGCTATGCGATTCAGTTTGCCCGGGCGTCCCCCCAAGTTCAGCGGCATTCGCTTCACATCAGTGAAGGCGGCTGATGCTCCTGTCTTGCGTGCGGAGATCGCAGTCCTACTGGCGAAGGATGCGTTACAGCCTCCAGCCGATATGAAGATGGGGTTTTACAGCCCCTACTTCATTGTACCCAAGAAAGGCCTCCGGGCTGTCCTTGTCGCCCCGTGTCTTCATGAAAGTTGCGGAGGCAGCCCTTCTTCTCCTAAGAGAGCAGGGCATTCGCATTCTCAACTACTTCGACGACTGGCTCATACTAGCTCAGGATCAGTTGTGCGAACACAGGGACTTGGTGCTCTCACACC